ACCAGGGCAGGAAGCAGGCAGTTTCCCAGATCAGACTATAGGCTGGTCTTTCGTGCTTGATTTGCATGACACTGGCTTTAACCTCCTTGGGGCCCTGGGCTTCTGGGCTGAAGAATCACAGAGCCCTGCAGTTTCAGTGATCATATGCTGTTCTCTAATTCAGTATCAGCCCCAGCAACCCGCCAGCACAGTGCGCCATCCCGGAAGCGAGAGCAATGGCAAGCCCTGAGCACCAAGACCTTGATCAACAGAGTTGAGGGTGGGGTGGGCTAAAAGAGGGGGAGAGATCACACTGCAACAAAACTGGGGTTTTTTTCTCTTCAGAATCATTGCTGATGGGATGGGAGAGGGGAAAGAACCGTATGTGTGTGTGTGTGTGTGTGTGTGTGTGTGTGTGTGTGTGTGTTGCTCTACTTAGCTCTCAGTTTTCTGTTTAGCATCCTAGACCCACTAATACAGGTCTCTGTGATAAAAGTCCTTCATACATATGTCCCCATGGTTGATAGGCTTCTGAACAAAGTCTCATCATATTTAAAGTTTTGTTTTGCCACCAAATATTCGGATCTCTTTCCACCTGTTACTTTGGTTTCTACCTACGCTATACACATTTGGTTTTCCTTTGGCCACTTGGGCCAATCCCCTCTCCCGCCTCTTCATAGACCTTAACTCCAGTTTATAAACACTACCACTCAGTACTCTATTTTCTGTCTCTATGGCCATAATGTGCAGTAGAACCCTATCTGGGTACATCTGAAACCCACCTGTAACGGGATCCATTGCATACTGCCATCTCTTATTTAAATATAAAAACGAATGTTCTTTTTAAGATAGTCTTTATAGGGGGGTGGCCGGTTAGCTCAATTGGTTAGAGCGTGGCGCTAATAACACTAGGGTTGCCAGTTCTATCCCCGCATGGGCCACTGTAAGCTGCACCCGCCTTAAAAACAACAACAAAAAAACCCAGTCTTTATAGGAATGAGAAAGCTTAATGTTATGGACTAAATTTCTATGTTGAAGCCATAACCCCATGTGATGGTATTTGGAGGTGCGACCTTTAGGAGGAATTCAGGTTTAAATTAAGCCATGAGGGTGAGACCCACATGATGGGATTAATGGCCTTAAGAAAAGAAATGCCAGAGTGGTTTCTTCTCATTTCTCTCTACCATGTGAGGATACAGTGAGAAGGCGGCGGCCATTTACAAGCCAGCAAGAGGGTCTTCACCAGGTCCTGAACCTGCTGGCACCTTCCACTTCTGAGCCTCCAGCACTGTGAGAAGTAGATGCCTGTTTTCCAAGCCCCTCGGTCTATGGTATTTTGTTATACCAACCTGAGCTGACTAAGACAGAAATGCAAGAAGAAGAAACTTGAAAACACAGATTGGCATAGATTATAGTGTCCAAAAGGGTCTGGGGTCCTTTGGGGAGCAGAGGAGGGACACAGAATATTGTACTGTCCATCTTGGTTTCTGAAAGCCTGAGGTGTTCTTCCTTACTGCAGGAAAAGGCAGGAGGGGATCGGGGTTCCAACTTGGCAATCATCTGAAGAGCTGCAGGGCTGGCTGGCTGCGCAGCAGCTGCAGATGTCAGCTTGCCAGGTTCTTTATGACTGTATTCAGCTCTGCTACAGCTGAGTCAGAAAGGCCACAGCCCAGAGGTGGGACCTAGCTGGCTAGCATACACTTCCGCTATTAGCAATCAAGGCTCACTTGTGGTCACCTTGGAGAACTGGGCTTATCGACCTACAGCCCAAGCCTGCTGAGAAGCTAAAGCACACTCCATGGAAAGTTCGAGAGCTGTTCAACCCTCCAACATTTTGCACACCCTGTCACCTCTGCTGTCTGAAAGCAGAGTTGGTGGGGGGGGGGAACAAGGGTACAAACAACTTGACGGAAGAGTTACTCTATTCATTAAAAAGCTGTCACTTGCTGATTGGACTTGAGAAGCAATTAAGCAATGGGGCGAAAGGCAGGCTTCCTCACCTACCACTTGTATAGACCATAATATTCACTCATTTTAAAGGTACAGTTTGATGAGTTTTACTGAATTTATACAGTTATGCAACCTTAACCACAATCTCTCCTCCTACTTTTGATCTATGAGAAATAAAGTGGAAGGAAAGTCAACCACTGTTTGCGCATCGACGTGAAATAGCGAGCAGCAGTATTGTTTTGCCTGGAGCCTTGTCCATTTGTGTTGGGACTTGATCTTAACACACGGGGAGCACAGTGCCCAGCACAAAGCATGCGCTCAATACTTGCTGGCTGAATGGATGAGTCAACTGACATCTATAGTGGGTTCAAAAGTGTAATAGTATGGACCCGTTTACTGTTTTGAAGGGAGGAAAGGGAGGGGAAAAGGGGTGAGTGATATAAGGCATGGCCTGAGGGATCAAGCCACTGGGGAAGGGGGGAAAGGTAAAGGAAACGCAAGAGAGGGGCAATGAAGCAGCCTCTACAGCTTTACAGACTCCACTCAAAGTCCAGTCCCATCCAGCAGCAGCAGCACCACGGAGCTTGACAGAAATGCAGAGTCTCGGGCCCTGCCCCAGACCTCCTGGATCAGAACCTGCATTTTGAAAAGGTCCCCAGGCCATCTGTTTGCACAGTCAAGTCTGAGAGGCACTCATAGATATTTGTGTGGTATTCCTAGAATAATGCAGCAGCCTACCCAGCAGCGGGGAAGGAGGGGCTACAGTCTGGTTTCCCATGTGAATCACCATTAGAAGGGCTAGAGAGCAACATTTTAAATGGGGAGATCCCAGTTTTGGGGAATCCAGCAATTTTGCAGGCCATCTGGGGAGAAAGATAACATCGCCATCAAAAATCGAATGCATGACTTTATGAAAGGAACATCCCTAGGAAAATCCACTTCTTTTTGTGTATCTTGAGCCTGGAACTAGTTGAACTCAGCCCTGGTTCTCTTTGTAGTCACTTGTCCTGGGGCCTGGAGCTAATTAGAAATGCATGTTCAGTGGAGATTTTATGAGTACATTTTAACTAAGGAACAAAAATCATGTCTCCTCCTAATAAGCCTCCTTTTACATTTCAATTCTGCTCAGAGCCCCATTTACCAGTACCACCGCCTGTCAGGTCTTTCCTTCTTGTCCTAGCATGCTCATGAAGCTGTGCTGCTCTCGCTGACTCAGAGGAGCCGAGCAGTGGCATGGACATTCCTGCCTCTCGATCTTGTGGTCATGTCAGTCCCTTTACCAGTAAAAGGATCCCTCTTCCTGCTATCCTCTTTCTTCCACCTATATATTCAAGACAAGGTTGAAGTGATGTTTTCCACAAAGCATTTCCCAGTCTCTCCAGACTATTGACTAACTGACTATTCTTTTCTGAACCCTGTAGTTCTATATTAAGTGCACTCTTAACAGTTCTTAGCACATGTTCATTGTGTCATTTAGCCCTACAGCTATGTGTCCCGTCGTCTGGAGCAGAACACCCAGCTCCTGCATTTCCACAACTAATATCAACCCCGGTCAATGAAACTGCAGGCTCATTAAACATTGCATAGGTCCTTTTGGAGGTCCAGAGAGGCCCAGGCCACTGCCAAGCTCCGAGGCCTTCGACCATAACGAACTTTAAATAAATATACTATGTGGAAAGTGAGTAGTAAATATAAGAAAATAATAGTAAATAAAGTAAATAGTAATAGTAAAGTAAACAGTAAAGTAATAGTAAAAAAATAGTAAAGTAAATAAAAATTCTCCCAATATTCTTCTAGCCTTTTGTTCTATGAAAATGCACTGTTGATTGAAGAGAATCTAGCTTTTTTGAAATGCTAGATAGTTATCATATACAGGAAACAATTCAAATACCAAAACATTAGTCCAGTATAATCTCAGTGTGTGTGCGCGTGTGTGCGTGTGCGCACATGCACACAGCCACACAGAGACACACACATCCTCCCTTACTACCCAGCAGCTGCGCTTCACTGCAGGACAAAGTGAGTCTCCTCTGTACACAGTAAATTTGCATATGTCTCACCAAAGCCTGTGAAGGACGAGATATCCCCACTGTCACCCAACATTAGCATTCTGAGGAATTTTCACTGAATGCAGCAAACTTCAACTTTCAGCCTCCTTTATCCCTACCTCGCAAGTGAGGATAGTCTCATACTCTATATGCTGCTCTGAGGTTCTGGTGTGAAAGGGATACCAGTACACATTTTTCTGATGTCTTTCTTTCTTATGGGTGAAATGCCATCATGTCCTTCAGAATCATTCTTTTTAGGGCCACAGGAGACCCACTATACCTGTCTGTATTACGATAGATTGCAAGACCTTGCCCAAAGGACCACTTCCTATCTGGGCTGGTCAGGCAGCTCTGGAAGCCAGCTCCATTGCAGAATCTGGGAGCAGAGAAGCTTGTATGACACTGGGGACTGTTAGAGATGACTTGAAAAAGCCCTGTTTTAGAGTCTTGCCTTTATCTCTCAATTTCAGGCAGTAATCTATTATTAAGTTTCTAAAAATATGTTGCTGTATTACATGAGAAATTGCAAAGGCTGCCCATGCCAAGAACCTCTCAGACTCTAACACATCATGAAAAATCAGCACCTTGATGGAAGTGTGGGCTATTCTGGATCCAGAGAACCTGGACTTGAACTCAACTCTGCTGTGTGACCTTAGGTAAAATTATCTCCCATCTCTGAACCTCCGTTTCCTCTTGTAAAATGAAGATGGTGATACTACTTGTTTTATAACGCGATTGGGAGGCACACGTGAGATGATAAACATGAAAGCATTTACAGTTTAAACATCAGTTACTTAATAGCAGTACAAGCAGTGTTGCTCTGCTGCAGTGATTCTAAAGCTTGAGCAGGTGTCAGAATCCTTGGAGGGCCCCACTTCTGGAGATTCTGATTCAGTAGGTCTGGTTGGTGCCCGAGAATTTGCCTTTCCAGCAAGTTCTCAGACGATGCTGAAGCTGCTGGTCTAAGGAACCACACTTTGAGAACTTCCGCCCTACCGAATTCCCAGCCGTTTTCCTTCTTACCGCATTATGAATTCCTTAAAGCATAATCTCAACTTGTTGTGATGTCGATAGAGTTTCGGGTCAGCTGGAATTTCGGCCAAAAACACTTGGGCTACTTCCAGTGGTCCCTGAAGTAAAAAGTAAAAAAAAAAAAAACAATACTGACATTGGAAAGAAAACTAAATTACTTGGGAGAAAGTCTTGGAGAGACTTCTTAGATTGAACATTTCATTTTGTAGTTGGTTTCACCAAAACGCAAAAAAGCAAGGAAGGTCTTGAACTTCTCAGGAAACTGTGATTCCCAAGGAGGAGTCTGGAGTTTTCAGAGAATATTCAGAAGTATAAGTGTATTTTCTTAATCAAATGCTACTACTAATAGCTTTCCATCATATACATAGGTACATCAAAAGGTATGTGCCTTGAGTTGATTTTCTAAAAATGGGGATTGTCTTGACCTGTCCATTGATATTCATTTGTCCAGTTGCCCTGGACAGTGTCAAGCACCATTTTGTGTAATTGCTGGCTTGTCAGAGAAATGCTGAGAACATATGTTGTCCATGGTTGTGGGCTTATAGAGCCTTCCATTTTCATCAAAGGATTGGGACTTGAAAAAGCAATGCTTCCTAATATTTCCTGATCTTGGAAATATAATTATCATTTCTCCTCTCTGCTATTTGTGCTTCCTTGATATTATGTGGACACAAAATTTTTGCAGAGGCGTTCAATTGTGCTGAGTGACGAAAGAGTCATGATACTCACTGAGTTTTTGTGTGGAGGTATAGACAAGGGTGGATCTAGATCTGAAATTAAGGAGGTCCATGGGACAGAGAGTACTAAACTAGTACTTCCCTCCATCTGAGCTTGGGTTAGTTGCATGCTGAGCTTGGGAGTCAGGGTTCTAATAGGTCTGAGAAGATCTAGTCTGGTCTAAAGTGTCCAAGAAGCCTGGTCCCAGGTCACCTCTGGTTAGCAAGGCTTCAGGCATGCTGAATTCATCTGGTGACTGACCGAGGGGTTGCCTGTTCTATACCCTTTCCCCCTTCTCCTACAGGCCCTCTCAGATTAGTCTTAAGCCCTGCAACAACTCTGCCTAAACTGGGCATGATTAAGTCCTCTTCAACAGGACACTAGACCTGGGTCATATTGCCAGGTCTGGTCCCAAGCGAAGACTTCTCTGAGAAAATGGTACTCCTTAGATGGCCTACTCATCTCCAGGATTTCTTTTCTATCTTGGATTGTTTCATGAACAGAAGAGGCCCCTCCAAGTTTTCTAAACCTCACAAGTGTTCCGTCTAAATTTAGGAACATCATTTTTTTTGTGTTGACTAGACTCCTCATCAACCTCAAGGAAGGAGGGTGCAGACATATAATAAACATCAAAATAACAAGAACCAGAGGAGCCGCAGCCAGTTCTTGCCTACCTGGTTAACAGTAGCTCCAACAGAGCCCTGCAGCACCATCTGAAGCATCTTTGCATCAGGGGGCTCCTGGTTAACAGCGACCGCTAACTGCAGCGTCTTCTTCTTCATATCTTCAATGGCAACTTCGATGGGTGTCAAAACAAACTGAACATAAGACAAAAATGTAGGGAAGTCATTGTCTGATCTTATAAGCCATGACAAACCTGGCACTATGACAAAGAGAGTGCCCGGATTTGAAGACGCCACTAAGAAGGATTTCAGAGTAATTTAAGATAATCTGAACAGGTTAAAAGGAAGGAAGTGCTTAACATTCCTTGAGTACTTATTATGCTCCAGGAACTTTACATACATTTATCATTTATTCCTTTAAACCACCTCCTTAGTCTCTCCATTTTATAATCGGAGAGAGATTTGTAAGGTTAAGAAAGTACCACAAAATGACACAGGTGGTAAATGGGGAGGCCAGAATTTGATCACAATAATGCCTATGTTCAAAATCCATGTTCTTTCTACAATGCTAGGTTTCCTTTCCTGTTATTGAAAAAGTTACCTGGCTTATTGGGAAAGCTATTAGAAGCACAGCATGCAAGATTTTCTTCCTCACCACAACACAAGATTTTGGCATCCTGAGTGTCTTCTCCAACTTACCCTTGGGTGAATTCCTAGTAAATGGAATTCTTGTAAGGGTCACTCGGCTAGTTGCTAAGTTCTGCTGGTTTGGGGTACGGTCCTTCCTGAATGTTATGAGTGGAGTCATGTCACCCTGAATTCATATACTGAAGTCCTAAGTCCCAGTACTCTAGAATGTGACCTTATTTAAGATAGGGTCTTTATAGAGATGACCAAGTTAAAAGGAAGTCATTAAGATGGGCCCTAATCCAGTAGGACTTATGTCCATATAAGAAGAGGAAATTTGAACACAGAGACATACATAGAGGGAAGATGATGTGAAAAGACATAGGAAAAGGTGGCCATCTACAAGCCAAGGAGAGAGGTCTGAAACAGGTTCTTTTTCGCAGCCCTCAGAAAGAACCAATGCTGCAAATACCTTGAATTTTGACCAGTGACCTCCAAAACTGGGAGACAATTAATGCCTGTTGTTTAAGCCACCCAGCCTCCGGTACTTGGTTACAACAACCCTAGTAAATGAATACACTGAGGTTGTCAGGAAATGACCGATAGCCAAGAATTATTGTAAGGACCGTTACGGAGACCACGAGTTTATTTCTGCACTATGCCTACATGCCCTAGTGTTCAAAAGCCCAAAACAATAAGAAATACAGCAGATGCCTTCTAAACCAACCTCTTCTTAACTGAGTCACCGGTTCAGGGTGTTTTTGCCCTCTGTGAAACCTACTCTCTGAACTTGCTGAACACTTGAGCTCGTGGGCCACTTTCCAGCGAGCTCAGTCACTTCTGCTCCTGCCTGATGAGGTGTATATTCACCACAATTCATCTGTGTTTGCTCACCAACTTGATTATGCTTGTTATACTTGTTATTGGAATGACCTAATCTTATAATACACAAACTGACGAACTATGGGCGTGGACAGAAAAAGAGTTGTTTCTATGAAAACCAAGCTGAATGCTTGGGCAAGTAGTTATGAAAGTGAGTTGCTATAAAGATCCTTGTCATATTAGGTATGTACAAGACAACTATAAAAGGCTAGGGGGGCAAAAAAAATTATTAAAACCCAGAAGGGTTTTTGTCTTTAAATTGTTTGTAAGGGATTTCAAACTCCTCTTTCGGTTTTCAGGAAATCAACTGAAAATTTCCGGTAGTTTTATCTTGGGTGGGTTTTATACCGGAAAGCCATTGTGGAATGGGGCCCAGCCCCCCAAAAACACCGAAGAAGGCTTAGCCTTTACAAAATGAATGACAAGCAAATGTGCATGGATGTGTTTTAAAGTAAAACAAAATGTTTAAAGTATGTCTAATTGTTGAACAAATCTGTGGCTTGAGATATGTTGCTGCCCATGGATTAGAAGCCTTCTGTACCGAGAACCAGAGAAAAGAAAGGGGTCCTTCCTGTCAACGTACAGAAGAGGAAACTGAATGAAGGTAAGTGTCCTATGCAGCATCACAAGAGGAAGCTGGGACTAGCAGTCAGCTGGTCCCCTTCCTCCAGCTTGGTCACCAGCTCGGTGGGGCTGCTGCTTGCTCTTCCTGTCTCTAGCAATTAACAACACAACTATGCCTGAATCACCCATAAGCTTTTAAATATACAAAGACTTATAATGTGGCGCATTTTAAAATATATACATTTCATATCAATTTACCTTGAAAATGTAAATGCATGCTAAATGTTATAGTTACGCAAGCATATTTATATTAAAGATAAAACTTGAACTACATAAAATACTGAAACATAAAGTAATGCTATAAAACAGGTAGCTGCCTAAATGGGATTTCCTGGCACCATGAGAATGAGAGGATAACCACCATAATAATATTTCAAGGGTGTTCCTTTTTAGATTTCGCTCCAGTCTGCCGCGAAGGAACAGGAAGGAGGTTTGTGGGTGTCATCCTGGGAGGTTGCCCAGGGCCACTCCTGCAGTGTGGCAGCCTCAGCCCGGAGCCTGTTTCCTGCAGGCGCCTTTACCTCCTCCTTCTGGATGACGCTGATCCGCGTCTTGATGTAGGGGAAGGCGTGCATGGTGGTCAGGATGGTGTTCCGCCGGTATTGCTCCTGCAGCTCCCCCCGAGGCCGCCCCTCCAGGGTGAAGGGGGTGGTGTACATGAACCTTCGCAGATTGGAATTCTTCTCAAAGTAGGTTACTCTGTCTTTCATCTCATACTCATCAAAGTAAGGCTCCACAAAAGTAATTTGTATATAGGCCTGAGGGGGAAAAGGCAGGGGAAGGTGGAGATGAGTTATTCTGCAAACAACCACGCAGGGCACAGGGGAAGGGCATGCTGGTACCAGCATAGCAGCACCACCTCTCTGACTTCACAAAAGCACAGAAGCTGAGTGCGTCAGGCAAGACTTCAGCCATCAGCCACACTTACCTCCTCTCCACCTCCAGGGAGAGACAGGACTCTGAGATGGAGAGGGCAGCGTGCCTGTGTGAAGTCAGGTCCACAAGCCACCCTTCTTTACCGATCCAACTGAAAGTCGGATGAAAGTTCACAAACTGCTATTCGGAAGAGACAAACTTTCCTTTTCGGAGCAACCATGACCACTGTACATTTGGTAGAATGGCTAAACTGAAGAAAATTGACAATACCAAGTGCTGGCAAGGATGGAGAGCAGCTGGAACTTTCATACACTGATGGTGGGAATGCGAAATGGTACAGTCACTTCACAAAACAGGTTGGCAGTTTCCTATATAAATTATACTGACCATACATTCCAGTGATCCCTCTCTGATGTGTGTGCCCAAGAAAAATGAAAACTTATGTGTCACACAAAAACCTATATGCAAATGTCAGCAGATTATTCATAATGTACAGAAACTAGAAACAGTCCACATGTCTCTTAAGTGGGGAATGGATAAACAAATGGTGGTACATCCATACAATGGAATACTACTCAGCAATAAAAAAGAACAAACTACTACAGGATGGATAAATCTCAAGTGCGTTGTGCTAAGTGAAAGAAGCCAGACTCAAAAAGCTGCATGATCCTATTTATTTACTGTAGGAATCCATCCATGTGATGTTCTGGAAAAGGCAAAACTGCAGAGACAGAATATAGATCAGTGATCGTCAGGAGCTGAAATAGAGGGAGGGAATGGCTACCAAAGGTCATGGAGAAATTCTGTGGGGTGATGGAATTCTTTCATATCTTGATTGTGGTGGTGGCTACGTGAGTTTGTCAAAACTCATACAACTAAAGAGAAAAAGAGTGAATTTTACTGCACGTACCTCATTAAAAAGTACGCACACACACACACACACACACACACATACACGCACACTGTGAAAAAACACACATATTAAAAAAAAAGTTCTCTTACAAAACAAACAAAAGAAGAATAGCAATGACCATAGACTCTGCAGCACCCACCCACTGAAATGGCTGGGTGAGGTCACTGATCTCAGACCGTAAATCACTATTTAGTGTGATGAAATCTGGTTATAATTTGGGGTTAGATTCTTATTTAAAATTCTCAGGACCTACTTTTGGGCATTTCCAAAGAGGGAAAAAGAGCATCTTGTGCCAGGGATGTCACTGGTGACTACATAGCCTGCATGGCGGGCACACAGCCAATCCCAACTTTCAAAGACCTCAAACATCTCTGTCAGAAGCTTAGCTCAGGCCTTACCAGTTATTGCTTCAAGCCTAGACTAGGGAATATATCTTAAGTGAGCAAGTCTTCTGAACTATGTGGAAAAACAAACTATGAAATTTGGCCAATACCTCTCTACTTGCATCATCTTCTTAATATCCTGGAGGACAGAGCTGAGAGAAGAGTTTGGACTCTTCGTTTTACTGACCAGATGGCAACTGCTCCTCTGTCCCCCAGCCCTTAATAACCCTGAACTTGCATTATTTCCAGCAGCTTAGAAAGCTGTCTCATGAACATATCTGTCTATGAGGTGGGCTGAGCAGGCAGTCATCACTCTATGGTGTAATAAAGAATATATCTAGTCTTCGTTTGCCTTTCCTGGCACAGAGCTTCAAAACCCCTTAGAATTTCCTGAGTGATATAAGTGTTGTTGTTGTTTTTTTATTTTAATGAGGTGATTCTTGCATGGTGAGTCCCTAGGTAGCTTCAGGAAGGGGGCCAGTCATTCAAAAGACCAATCATATGATTAGAGGGTTGGGAGTTGGGGCCAGCCTGATTTCCAGGGGGAGGATAAGGGCTGGAGACTGAGTTTAATAATAAGGTTGATGATGATAATGCTACCTGGATTGGTTAAATTCTGGACAGCAAGGCTCAGTGGAGCTTTCTGGATGGTGAACATATTGACCTGCCTCAGGGGTGACATGCCTGGATTCCATAGGGAGAGGGCATAGACGCTATGGACTCCTTCCCAGGCTTGCTCTGTGTACCCTTTATCATAAAACTGTAATCATTATTACAGCACTTTTCTGAGTTCTGTGTCATTATAGTGAATTATCTAACCTGAGGGGCAAAGTGGAAACCCCCAAATCTGTGGCCATCTGGTCAGAAGTGTGGGTAGCCTGGGGGTCCCATGTGAGTCTGGTGTCTGAAGTGAGGGCACTCTTGTGGAGAGCTGAGCCTGCAACTTGCAGCATGTGACGTAACTCCCGTGGTGAGTGTCAGAACTGTACTGCAGTCCACCCAGTTGGGGTGAGATAGGACACACCCTCACATGAGAAGTGAGGAAACTGAAGTCTAAGCCCTTTGCATCACTCCCCCAACAATGCAGGGACCCTGCATTACCTGGAAGGAATACCTGCAGCCTAAAGACGTTGCAACTAAACGTGGCCAATGAAAACGCTGCATCTTTTTAACATGTTTTAAATTGAGGGTTTAAAGTTTTTCTAAAGATGCAGTAAGGAGCAGTGATTAAGAGCGTGGTTTTGAGGGTAACAGGTCCTGAGTTCGAGTACTGGCTTCAGCACTTACACAATCATGGAAAGTTGCTTAATCTTTCCATACCTCAGTTTTCTCATCTGTAAAATAGAAATAGTAACACCTAGTTCAAAGGGCTGTTAGAGGTTGAAATGAAGCGATGTATATAAAGGGCCTAATGCAGTGCCAGGCATACAATTGGTGTCTAATAAATGGTAGCTCTTATGACTTCTGCCTTTGAGTGTGGTTTCCGTAAAATCTAACCAAAGAGTAGTTGAACCCTACACAAAAAAATTTGGCTGCACTGAAATGACTTGGAGAGCTCAACACAGGAGGTCATTTTATGTTCTTGGGCTCGAACAAAGGGAATCAGAGCCTGATGACTGTATTTTGCAAATTTCCTCCTACCTTGTTAGGATCCAACTTGGTTTTGTCCACAGGGGCAGAGTCTTTTATCACTTCCACAAATTCCGCGCCAAAACATTGACTATAAAATCCCTAGGTAAGAGAAACCAACAGATTATAAAGGTTATTTCAATGTATAATAATGCAACTCTTTGTCTTTCAGAAGTGGAACAAGTTTGGAATACGTATAAGGGAGAATTTTCTCATTGATTACTGAAAGCCTCTCTGATCTAATCAGGCAAGTTCAACGCCTCCTGAGACAAAAATAAAAATATAAGGAAGTCCAGCATTGCAAACTGATACATGCTTCCCTACAGCATGAATGACTCATCTCTATTTCAACCAGGGTCATCATATGTCCTGAAGCAGCACCAGGGGTATGGCACTGTTTCCTTCTTGCCTTTTGTACCCTAGGAACTTGGAGGTCACCAGGCTTTCTAGAATGTGACAAACCACAGTGCATAAGAAGACATAGCATGTACTTCTAGCCCTAAGCTGGGAAAACATATGAAGAAACCAGGTGTCCTGGGCTCAATTGCTAGCTCTCCTTCTCATGAGCTCAATGACTTTGGGCAAGTCCCCCAACCACTCTGGGCCATGGCTTCTCTGAGTCAAATAAGGATGAAAATCCCTCGTCTTATTTGTCATGGGTAGGTAGTATAAGAAGCAATTTGGCAATAAAAGTGTTTTAGGTTTTACAGCCATAAAAGGGCATAAACTCAAAGCAATACCAAGGAGTGGATCTCGGGTTAATTGGTGTCAGCAGCTCAGGGGACCCCAGTTATTCACCCTGAGAGGGTTCTGTTGTGGGGGCACCCCTTGATTTCCTCCTGAATTCTTAGTGTTCGGCCCTTTCAATGTCTACTTTCTTTTTTCTCACTGGTCTCTGTTGTTCCCCTTTTTCTCCAGTCTTTCTTCCGGGAACATGCTACTCTCTTCTGCTACGTTGTAGATCACATGTAAACAGCAGGTTGAACGTGGGACTGCCAGCCCAGGGGTTGGGACACTGACTCTAATTATTCAAAGAGGGGTGCTCCTTGGATCAGCATGAAGAGCTTGCTGTGCCACAGCCCATGCGTGGCTCTGTGCCAGAAGTGGGATGTGTTATCCAGTGACCCCAAAACGATGGCCACAGCATTTTCTAGGTGTAATTCAGCAATCTGGCCAGGTTACCTCAAAGTCAAGGTAATAACCTTCAAGCTGAAGAACTATTATTAAAATTGGAAAAGGGTTTCAAGAAAGCACATGACGTTGATTGAATTTTGGATAGTCTTAAAAAGAAATATTCACCCATAAATTTACAAACTGTGACAAGACTACACAGAATCTTAGGAGAAAACGATCCAAACCCTGCTTTACCTCACGATCTCACCTAATACCTTCATATTATATATGCAATGTGAAAAAATTTACATATAGATCAACGATGAATCCATGATCCTTTGGGTTTTTTGTAATGACCCATTCTAACTTGTTTTTGTCAAGTATACAATGTCAAGCACACAGAGTCGTCACTTTTCTTACCTCTAGCCTATGAGAGATCTCAGGAAGCTTGGTAATTGCAGGCTCTTTGTAAACAAATTCTTGCTCATCCAAATCCCCAAATTTGGATCCATAAAAACCAACTCGGAAGTAGGTTCCAAACATTCTCTTATGACCCTGATGAACAAAATTAAGAAAACCTCGCCTTAGTTATATAATTTATGAGGATCCATCGCGTTGCAAAGGATAGGAGTCTTTTATTGCTCTGTTATAAAGCATGTTATCACTATGGCAAACATAAACAGAAATCAGTCCCTCAAAAAATTTAATATTTATGGAATAAACTTTTGAAATAATAACAAAAGAGTTCCCACAAAAGATTTCTAGGACTTCTTTTAAGTGAGTTTGGAAAGAGGCTCACATTTCCTGGTTGGAAAGTAATTCAAGCTGCCTTCTTTCACACTCTGAATTCTGGTCCTCTCGTCTATTCCCAGCCCTTCTCCGATTGGTAGGTGAGAGCTACAGTGATGATGTGCTCGAGGTAAATCACTCCCTGGAGAGGAACGGGGGGCTAAGCGTCTCTGGGACAGCGTCACCTGCTGCCAGGTAACAGGACCTGTTGGCCAGGGTCCCCAGCTACCTTGCTAATGATGCTGTCAAAAGCCTTCTGCAGCTTGTCATGAGTGGAGGTCAGCTTCCGGAAGTCTCGATGTGCTTCCAGGATGGGGATGACCAGCTTGTAGACCTCGTTCACCGTCTCGTACAACCCTCCCTTGGAAAGAGAAGAACACCAGAGAAAACTTAATCTTTGGAAACTTCAGAAGAGAAACCAGTGTTCAGTACGCCCTGGAGAATGGGTCGATTGTTGGCACCACAATATTTGAGAGAGCAGGAGTGACGTCTGAGCATCTTTGGGACGGTTGTAGCACTGAAACCGAACTAGACACATGCTAAACGGTTCTGCAGGATGATGTTTCCGGGGGAGCTTTTCACAGAGGGAAAGCAGGACAGGAAATTGGCAGCAGAGAACAAGAGCAATTCTAGAAGGTAGCTGCAGCATATGTAAATGTCATCAGGGGTTCCCTGTTGCCAGATGTTCAGTGTATGCCTGAAAGGAGTTAGTGGGATTCTAATGGTTCATTTTCTTGAATTTTGGGGAAAAAAGGAATTTATTGAACAAAAGAAAGATAGTTAATACAATAATCAAAATACACAGAGGTTGTAGGGTGGAAATTTGGAATGGAAAACTAGAAAAGAAAGAAAAATATAAGGATGAAAACAAAATTGGATCAGCCTAATACAGTGAAGTATTAAATATTTACTTGGCTTAAGTTTTGAGAGAGGAGGGAGATTATTAAAATGAAAATGGACAAGAGACTTTCTCTCCCACCCTGAATCTCAATGACTTCATCTATATATGTTTTCTCTAATTAGGAGTGTTTGGACCCAGATTAAGTTAATGAGGGGGATCTCAGTGGCTTCGCTCCCACATTTCTCTGCGCAGGTCCTAGTCGGTGACAATCGGGAGGATGACTCAGCTGTTAGGAAGGAAGACACTGCTTATTTATTTCTTCCCCTCCTCTCCCCTCCCCTTCCCTTTTCCCTCTCCTCTCCTCTCAGTGACTCCACCCCAATCTTTTTCTCTATGAGAGGGAAGATGAGGGAGTGAGAACATGCCCCATCATTTATTGTGCAACCCTGGGCAAGCCATTTCACCTCTCTGTGGCTTAGTTTCCACCCCTATTAAAAGGAATAATCCTGTGAAACTGCGGTCCAGCCAATGAGCATGCAGTGAAAACCAGACTATGCAGTGCTGAAAGGCTTTCTCACCTCCCTGGAGGGCTGATGCAATTTGCATCCATCAAAGTCCTCCTGGGCATCCCCGGCCCTGCACACCCCTGCACAGATCTCAGGAAGTGGGACTGGCTTGTCCATGAAGAATGGCATTCCCAGCACTGGAACTTCAGCCTGAACGTGCAGGCCAGGCCCCGGGACCACTGTGTGCACTCACCGTGCTGAACAGCTCGGCGGCCTGCTCCAGCAGGCCCACCAGGCCGCTCTCCGTGAAGTACCGGCCGGAGCACACGCCATCCTCGTCAGGGGACAGAGTGTCATCGGAGACCGCAGACTCCTCCAGCACGTTGGAGGAAATATTCTGAAAGAGATCACAGTATAAGCCCAGAGGACAGGGGGCAGGACTAAGAAAAGGCACCACAGGGACCCCAAATGTAGGCATGAGGAAGTCACGCTCAAGATCCCCAGTAAGCCTGTGATTATACAGGCCTGTCATTCCCCCAGGAAGAGGCTGCCATTCGTTCTGAAAGGATGCACTGAGCAACTGGTCTTCAAAACTCATATATATTTTTTTTTAAAGATTTTTATTGGGGAATTGGGGGATGGGAACAGTGCTGGGGAGTTGGGGGAAGGGGAACAGAGAAGCCGCTGTCCTTTTGTTCTTCAGTCTAGTTGTGGAGGACGTTGCTTCACTGGCCCAAGTTGGCACTATCATTGCGCTCTTCCCGGGTGAGGCAGATCAGTCGCCGGCTTCTGGACGGCCGCTCACTGCGGCTGCTGGCCGCTCACGCTGGCTGCTGGTTACACACGGTAGCCCATGGCAACCCACGGCAGCAGGAGATGCAGCCTACGCCGACCCCGGTGACTCTCGGCAGCCCAGTTCCAGGTTTAGCTGTTGTTCAGCATCTTAGTTGTAGAGGGCAGTGTCACTGGCCCTCATATGTGGGATCCGAACCGGGGCCCTCTGGCGTCCCAAGCCAGCTCTCAACCACTGGGCCACTTGGCTGGCCCATATTTTTTTCTTTTTCACTATGAAGAGATTTACAAAGGATACGTACCTCCATGTAACAACAGTTGAGTTATTTTAGTGAAATAACCCTAACAGGCACCCAGTGGGGGTCATGGTTTTTAAAAGGCAAAGGCCAAATAACAGTTGACTGACTCCTTGTTTCGCCAGATGAGTGAACCTCTCACTTTTGGGGGTTTTTCCCCTGAAGAATGTTGCTACTACTGACTTGACTTTTAGGTGGATAGCCGTGATATTATAGGACAACAGTAAATGAGAATGCTTTCTTTATGGAAATTTTTATGGTGATGTAGCAGTTATTCTTTTCCTTCCCAAACATTTTCTTCCTTTCTGCATACTTTTCCTTTATATAAACTACAGAGTTTAAAGTCTCTAGCAGAGAATCCAGTGACCAAGGCCAGGGCTAGGGTGAACCCAGGGCACAAAATTTAGGGAGGCACTCATTCTCAGGGTTGTGTAATGTTGGCTGTGAACTTGCTTGACCCTGAGAGTCAGTGCTTCCTTAAATTCTGTGCTTTATGTGCCTCACTTGCCTCACCCCAGCTCCAGCTCTGGCAGTGACTCCTACTCTTTTTTTAAATTTTTTTTTTATTTTAGTGACTCTCATACACTTGACAGATCAAGAGTCATTTTCTTCCACCTGTCTCACAGCTGCGGAAGAAATGTATATGGGAATGGGAAATCTTTCTAGCTTAGAAATTGCAAACAGGTAGCACACATGCCACTCCTTCCTATTTCTGCACGCATGGCAGGCATAACTAATCAATTATAGCACTCTTTCCCTGAAGCTTGGATATAGTCTCAAAATTCTTCTCAGCGTAGTACTCTAGTCAGTCATTATCAATGGACCAAAGTTGGCTTTTGAAGTAAAATTTGCCAGCCTCCTGGCTTGGCTAGCAAGATCAAGTGAATCAACCTTAGCAATCAAGGAAAAGAGAGTAGTCACAGTCCTATATCTTCACAGCTAATGTTGTAATGTAGTTTTAGGAATATAGAATCTTTTGTGGCCAGTCTTTCTTTCAAACCTTGTCTTTCTCTCATAATGTTTCTGAATTGGAGATTAAAAAAAAAGGTCCTAGCGATTCAGATGAAAGAATCTAATAATCCCCCAAAACAAATACTATTGGAATTGTATGCAACTTTCTACATGTAGAGGAACAGATCTGAAGTTATGCAGCCTTATTAGCTATAGTCAGAGGGAAAAGATTCTGGGCAGACTTTCCTGGCTTCAGAATTAGGAGGTAAAAGTAACAGCAGTATCTCAGAATGTATCTATATCCACATTTGTGGAATACATATTATACTCTGGGGCATAGAATTTCAATGATCTTAGTTCCTTGGAATTCAGTGGCCTCAATGTTATTATCCTTGAACAGATTTATTTAGCTCCAGTTTATAATTCTTTTCCAAAAGTTCAAGTTTATTGGAGCAGAAAAAAGTTGAAAACTAAAGAACAGAATATTTAAGAAATTAACTCTGGACATCTGTTGTGGATGCTGCCAGAATTCCTTTATCTTTCTATAAAGCAAATCCTCCTGGGGAACCAACCAATCATTACTCCAGGTGTGGATCTCAACTCTGGCCCTGTCAATTTCATTTCTCATTCCATTTCTCTGGCTATTATGATTGGTTCAGGCATGCACACATTACCTTATCAGAACCAATAGGATGCATTGAGACTTTTTCAGCAACTACAAGACATGAGGCACCTTTCTATTCTCCTGGACTTGAACCTAGGATGGTGTAAACCTAAATATTTCTCAACAAGTATAGGAAGCCTGTGAGGAATGCAGCCAACATCACGGAAAGCAGAGACAGAAAGTGGTGATGACACTGAGGTCTGATGACATTGTTTGGGCCCTTAGGTCCAGTTTGGCAGGTGCTACTCCAGGCTCACCTCCCTCA